GGGAGAGGGAGAGAAGGAGGGAAAGGGATAATAGAAAAAACAGAGAAAGATAAAATGACAACAAAACAAAGAAAGAAGAAAGAAATACAACTTCTTTAAACCCAAAACGTTCTTCCAAACAAGTTAACATTCCCTCAATCAAGAACGTACCTGTAAAGCCCTTTGGGTACCGTAGTTGACCATGGTACCGTTGTGATACCAGAAGATGTACACGGGGGCAGGGGCATAGCGGACGTGGCACTCGAAGGCCAAGTGGACCCTTCCGATGTGCACCACGCCGGGACCGCTGATTACCGCCTCGGCCTCTGGAGGGCGGGTGAGGGAGAAGAGCGTCAGGGTGGGTGTGGTGAGGGAGGGAGAGAGGGAGAGAGAGTCTATTGGTGAGGGAGAGAGGGAGAGAGAGCGTTAGTGGGTGAGGGTGTGAGGGAGAGAGAGAGAGTCTATTGGTGACGGAGGCAGGGAGGGAGGGAGGGAGAGTCTGTTGGTGAGGGAGGGAGGGAGAGAGAGAGAGTCTATTGATGAGGGATGGATGGAGGGAGAGAGTCTGTTGGTGAGGGATGGAGGGAGAGAGGGAGAGAGAGAGAGAGTCTGTTGGTGAGGGAGGGTTGGAAAGAGCGAGGGAGGGAGGAGAGTCTGTTGAGAAGGGAGGGAGGGAGGGAGGGAGAGTGTCAGTGGGTGAGGGTGTGAGGGAGAGAGAGAGAGTGTCAGTGGGTGAGGGTGTGAGGGAGAGAGAGTCTGTTGGTGAGGGAGGAAGGGAGGGAGGGTGAGAGAAAGAGAGTGTGTTGGTGGTGTGAAGTAGTGCGTAATTTGGTGAGGGAAGGAGGAAGAGAGAGAGTGAGAGAGCGTATGTTGATGAGTATTTGAGGGAAAGAGAGCGCCAGTTGGTGAGATGAAATGATGCTTGAAAGTGAGATTAAGAGTGGAAGAGAAAGAGAGAGAAAGACAGAGAGTGAGGGGGAGGGAGAGAGAGAGTGAGAAAATGTGTACGTGATACATTTGTGTTTGTTTACATACGAATTATTACAGAAACAACCATAAATATTTAAAAAATACGTTGCTATTCTACCACGGAATTCTTCTCTCTCTTATCCAATGCAAATAAGTAAAATAAAATCCATAAACAGACCAGGTGAGATATCGACTATCACAAGATACCCGGATGCGAAATTGACTAAATATATTTACGTATATATGATTGAGAATCCGTGGAAATCTCAGTGCAAATCTTACGCGCTGTCAGGATCAACATCGATACGTTATGTATATCCAGCGAATTAGGATTATATCCTACACTGACGTAAAAAGTCATGCCCACAGATCAAGGGCCGAGAGGGGGGGGGGACGAGAGAGGGGGGAGGTGGGGGGGCCGAGAGGAAGGGAGGGAGGGGGGGGGCGAGAGGGAGGGGGAGATGGGGAGGGGAGGGGAGGGTCAGAGAGGGAAGTGGGGAGAGGGAGGAGGAGGGATCGAAGGGGAGGTGGTGAGGGAGGGGAGAGTCAAAGGGGGAGGTGGGGGGGAGGGACCATAGGGGAGGGGAGGGGTCAAAGGGGAGCTGGAGACGGAAGGGAGAGAGATGGAGAAAGCAGAAACGAGAATCCAGAGAGAGAAGGAATTAATATCGAGCAAAAAAAGAACTTCAAAATCACCAAAAACCAGAAAAAATCGAGAAAAAAAGGGAAAAAAAATCAACAACAAAACAAAGAAGAAGAAGAAGAAGACAAGAGGTCAAGACGACAAAGAGGAGAAGACAAGGAGAAGGACTCGTCAGGAAAGGTTGACAGGGGGATCCTTCTTCAGGGCAGGACGCCATCGAAACCGCCAACCACAACTGCCTCGTTTTCGGAGAGAAATTGATTGATTTGCCTTGTTATCGCTGTCCTTGTAAGGGGGGGGCGGGGGCGGGGCGGGGGCGGGGGGAGGGGGTAAGGTCTCGTCTATTGGTCTTGTCTTTGTCTGTCTGTCTGTTTATTTTTTTTTGTCTGTCTGTCTGTTTTCTTCTGTTTGTTTGACTGCTGTTTTCGTTTGTCTGTCTATTTCTGTTTTCTTCTGTTTTTCTGTCTGTCTGTTTCTTTTTTCGTCTATTTCTGTTTTGTTTTTTTCTGTTTGTCTATTTCTGTTTTGTTTTTTTCTGTTTGTCTGTTTCTGCTTTCGTTTGTCTATCTGTCTGTCTGTCTCTTTCTGTTTTCCTCTCTATGTCTATCTACTTATCATCTGTTTGTTTGTGTGTGTGTCTATCAGACTGTATGTATTAATTTTTCAGTCTGTGTCTGTCTATCGATCGGTCTGTCTGACTGTTTACACATTTATCCCTATCTATTTATCAGTCTGCGTGTGTGTGCGTGTGTGTGTGTGTGTGTGTGTGTGTGTGTGTGTGTGTGTGTGTGTGTGTGTGTGTGTGGTGTGTGTGTGTGTGTGTGTGTGTGTGTGTGTCTGTGTGTCTGTCTGTCTGTCTGTCTGTCAGTCAGTCAGTCATTTTGTCTGTGTCTATCACTCTATCTGACT